CACGTAAGCACCATTGGCGATCGTCGATGTCACCAATGGCGTGGTGGGAGCTGGCATTGGTGGACGAGTCGGCCGAGGCGTCGACGAAAGAGTCACCGTGGGTGTGAGTTCTGGAGTTGGTTGAGGAGTACTAGCCGATGATGTTGGTTCAGGGGTCGAGTGGGGGGTAGCTTCAGGAGTAGGAGCCGGAGTTGGCTCAGGTGTACGCTCAGGAGTAGGTTCAGGATTAGGTTCAGGAGTTGGCTCAGGGGTAGGAGCTGGCGTTGGCTCGGGGGTGGGTGCAGGGGTTGGTTCAGGGGTGGGAGCTGGCATTGGCTCAGGTGTAGGCTCAGGGGTAGGAGCTGGCGTTGGCTCGGGGGTGGGTGAAGGGGTTGGTTCAGGGGTGGGAGCTGGCGTTGGCTCAGGTGTAGGCTCAGGGGTAGGAGCTGGCGTTGGCTCGGGAGTGGGTGAAGGGGTTGGTTCAGGGGTGGGAGCTGGCGTTGGCTCAGGTGTAGGCTCAGGGGTAGGAGCTGGCGTTGGCTCGGGGGTGAGTGAAGGGGTTGGTTCAGGGGTGGGAGCTGGCGTTGGCTCAGGTGTGGGTGCAGGGGTAGGTTCAGGAGTAGGAGCCGGAGTTAGATCAGGAGTGGGTGCAGGGGTAGGTTCAGGAGTAGGAGCCGGAGTTGGCTCAGGGGTAGGAGCTGGTGTTGGTTCAGGGGTGGGTGCAAGGGTAGGCCCAGGTGTAGGAGCTAGCGTTGGCTCAGGCGTGGGTGCAGGGGTAGGTTCAGGAGTTGGAGCCGGAGTTGGATCAGGAATGGTGAGCTCCATGATCCGCATTGCGCGTATGGCTGGAGGTTGAGGTACTACGGCTTGACGAGAGCCATGGTGAATGTAATAGTTTTCGCTGTCTCGGAGGTCGTTACCCGTGGCGGGCTGCAACGCCGTCAACGAGTTCGCCAAAGCGAACCCAGTTAGGGCCACCAAAGCGTACGACACGCACACCATGATCGAAATTGAAAAGTGAGGTAGGCGACTGTGTTTTGTCAGCTATTGGGCGTTTCAATTGCAGGGGGTAATTACTAAAGATTGACAGATTATGCCAGTTTTGTGGAATGCAGACGCGAATTTTCAGGAGATCGTGAAGAGTCAACGGCCGTCAGTCACTGCAGCGAGTTAAGGCGATATCTCGCCGTGGTATATACCATCCAGCTCTGCTCCATCAAAGTTCCAAAGGGTTGGGCGAACGATTGCCACGTAAGTCTTAAACAGAAAAATCTTGGTTTTTGTTCGGTAGGGTAGCCATAACGCTATCACTCATTTGCCAAAGGCACTCCAACTTGTCATTTAACAGCATCAAAGACAGTGTCGCCGTTGGAGGCATGCCCCGTTGGGTCATATACTTCCTATCTAAGGGTTACCCGTATAAATCTGAGCTATAACTCCGACCGGTGGAGTTGCCCTTAGTACATGTAATAACGTGTTTTGTCGTGGATCTCATTTTCTAGTTCTACGTAACGTTGATATAAACTCTTCCGCAAAAACTTCAGATCAAGGTGCTTCGAGCATTACCACACCAAGCAAAGAAGCATCCTTACTGTTGAAGCGATTGGTAACGTTATTAATAATATGAACGTTAACAGTAACGCAATCTCAGGATCAACAGGAGCAGCTGGTGCGAGAGAGTTGCAAAACCTCTTCAATAATGAGTCGCTTCTCACTGATCGACACCGTCCTATCACCCCACAAGTGCCATTACTCCGGTCCTAACCATCACATGTACTGTAACCCCCATTTCAAGTGTGAAATTCCCCCCTCCCCATTCGAAGGACTTAAGTGAAGCGGTGAAACTTTTCTCCATACAATGATTCTGCGCTCGTTGAAACAGGAGCTGGGTATCGCACTGCTGGCATTGCCACGATGGATATATTCCAAACGATTCCAATGTGAAGTGATTTGAAATCGCGCCAGGCATTGCAAATAAATCGTACCCGATACTGTAAGCTTAGAGCATCTCCACTCGTGAACTGTTTCCATTTTCGATCATGGACGCTTGTCCTATGTTTTGGTAACGTTAGCCCAAGCTACCCTCCCCTTGGCAAAATATATGGCATCGTTGCAAGCCGTCACCGCTGACGGACTCTGAGATAGAGAACTCCCACATCCACCCCATGGTTTCATGCACTAATTTGATGTTGATGCTGGTTTCCTGCAATCTGATTGGCTAAATCCTAAATCCATTCTTCTTAACGTTACAACACAATTATACTACTACGTAGTACTTATTACTACTACTGTAGTACTGGTAACATTACCAAAATGCCATTTTCAAAATGGAGGTAAAAGGCCCATTTTGTACTAACGTTATGGCGTTTTGGACCTCCTCAAGGAGTAAATCCCACTTTGAATTATTGGATTACAACTACTAATACTGATTACTGGTACTACACAAGTATAGTACCTACTGTATGTACAAGTTGCTTCAACGTTAACTGATTCATCATGGTGGCAAAGCGTCCTCTGGCATCGTCACGACGTGTCGACATCTACGAGGCCGTTGGGTCGAAAGAGCCGCGTGCAGCTTGGATCTCGAATTCGAATCGTGTCGTGTTCAAACGTGGCCAACGACGATGCAAACGCGACGCAGTCTGGGCACATGTCACGGTCCACCACGATGCAAATGGCATGCCACAGTCGCGGCGTTGGCATGTGCTGAGTGAGATGCGCGAGCTTTTGCTTTTCTGCATGACACCAGCCAAACATGAAGCTGCGGCTGTTGAGCACCAGCGGATTCTCGACTCGATACGCATGCCCGATAGCGTCGGCGAGCCACGCAGCACCCATGCTGAGCTCGCATTGACCTAAAAAGCCGTCGACGGTGCCACATACTCCAAAGCCGCTGAGGGTACGTCCTTCCACGAGACGTGTCAATTGGTCCATGTCTGGTACGTCTTGGCTGACCACCTCGGCGTAGCAACTGGCAGCGCGCTTGGATGTCGGGAATTGCACCTGCTTTGACTGCAGGTAGCCCAGATACGCCTCAAAGCGTCTGATTTGGGTTGCATGTGGCAGCGTCAAGTAGGTATCGCGCTCGCTCGGATCGAGAAACTCTGCAAATGTGTAGTACGTCGTCATCTTCTTCGATGTTGGCTTTCCAAACGGATGGCTTGATGGTTTCATAAAATAAAATAAGATATGTATCCATTTAAAACGAATAATAAACGACTGAATGCTTGAAGCTCATATTTAAAACAATTTTGAAATTCATTTGAAACATGAGTTTTGTGTCGCATGGTTGCAAGGTAAGCGAACGAAAGCCGAACCCAGTGCGGTCATCGTGACCTTGCGTGACTCGATAACTGAACCATGGAGCCAAGGTTGACGAGTCGGGGTGGGTGTGGATGCTCGGCCAAGACTACCGCAACCGCGCCGACGTGGTGAACTGGGGCAAGTCTGGAGATGGACCACTCGACGGTAGCTACCAATGATCCAAGCAACTCGGGACACGCTAGTAGCCCTGTCTCCGCGCTTGGTCATCGTGTTGCTCGGTACAAACGACGCTGCACCTGCCTTCTATCGGTCGGGCGGTCCGCAAGACGAATACTTTGTGTCGCTGCGTGGCATCCTGGATGTAATTGCCACGGCGTGCCCGACAGCAAAGCTGCTGCTCATCAGTCCTCCTGTCGTAGTTGACGAAGTCTTTGGTCTCCCACAGAACGAACGCGAAGGCTTGTACAGTACTGTTCATATAAAGGGATGATGTTTCAGTGATGTGCGTTTCACTTTCGGGTTGCTTGCCGTGATTGGATGAAGGTGGATCTAAATGAGGGCGTTTTGACGGAGAGCTCCACAGTCGGATCCATTTGCTACAATTGTAGTACAGGTGTAATTCACGGAAATATTACTCGAGTGCCCGAGTGGGGCAGCCGTGGAGGAACCAGCCCTGAAACCAGCCCCGATCACGGCCAAAGTTGCAATTGCGAAACAACACAAGTGTGCTCAGTACGACACCACCGTCCATCGTGTGACGATTCCACCTAGACGGACGAATGGAAGCAATGCCGAGAACCACGTCACATGGACTTGATGAATATGCGGATTTAACGGACTCCACCAGACTAAAGCTGTCTTCGCATAGCTGGGCAGCCAACGTACTCGGCGTTCAACTCGCCCTGTAGCTGCCTTACGTTGCACCATACTCGTCTTGCAGTACGTTTTGGACCTTGAGTTGGTCGTGGAGTTTCTTGGGCACTTTCGCTCGACCGCATCGCTTCGCATCGTTCGGTGTTGGCCTCGTCGCCTTCGTAAACCACGTAGAGGGCACACGCAAAAAGGATATAATCGATGTGATCACAACTGTGAAATATTGCAAACAAGGATGTCAAGCTCAAACAGAAATCATAGAAACGACTGAGCGTAGTACTTTCTCACTGTATCGCATGCTATTAATAGGCCGGATGAGTTCCATGTTGGGCAAAATGACATTATGAAAATCTCAAAATGTCATTTTGCCTGAATAATGACATTTTGAGATTTTCATCCGGATGTAGTTGTATGATCCGGAGTGTACTTTTGCAGGCAAGCCAATTGCATGCTTGGGCGATGGATCCACGGCGCAACGAGCGAGATCGCCTGGTTCATGCATTGGCAGAGTTTGCTTCCTTCTTTGCGAATGAGTCCAAGCGACGGAGACAGAAGTCTCGACATGACAAGAGTCCCCGCAACGACGTCCTCGCTTGGCTGGGTCAATTGACTCCCATGGAACGTGCCGCAGTGACCTCCACCGTCGATGTCTCGTTCGTGCGGCTGGTCATTCAAATGATGGCAGCTCCCAAGTCCAAATCCCGCAGCGTGGACGAGTTCCATGTGTTGCGAACAACGTCGAAACAGGGCAAGGTCTCGTTACCCTTCACGTCCAGGTAAGCAAGGACTCGTCAACTCGTGTACCCCTCACTCGACGTCATATACAGGTCAACCTTCAGTCGCCGCCCCGTGACCACGACCCGCGATGGAGATGAACTCATAAGTATGTCCGTCTACTTGCATCTCTTCTGCCATCCTCACGTCAGGACCGTTTGATGCATGTATACGTAGTCCCACACTCGAGGGCGTTCGACGTCGCCGCGTCGACGGTTGTCTCCAGCATGCGCTTGAGCAACACGCACAAGTCCTGCGATACCGTTGGCCCTTGCATCTCCCTAATAGGCAACTTGACTTCGTTTGTGGCGCTCATGGATACCGTGACGTTTGGTCACTTTTTGGAGCAGCCACCAGAGGCTGCCACGTGGAAAGACTTGCCCTGGTCTGAGCTTCCGGTAACCAGTCGTTCCTCAACTGTCCATATTGGCCCCATCGATATATATATATATATGCTCAACTCGACGACGGTAGTGGCTTGGAACGTATGGGTATTACCCCCTAGCCACCTACGTTGCCCATCAAATGGTAGTAGAAGTACATGTGTACACCACGACCCCATCACATTCGATGGTTTTCACCATAGGAACTCCAACTATGGCGCCATTTTCGTCTTGCCAAGCAAACTACTACGTCTACCGCCATTCCCAAGGTCGGACTCTTAGCCACCTCGCACTTGGCTCTAGAATGGCATCAAGCATGTCCACGTGTACAAATCGACACGTGCCGGCGGCTAGCCATATCAACCACGTGCCTAGTGCAGAGCCTCCACTCGAACCCAACCAGCTTGGCTTGCGTTCAGTCGTCGCTGGGCCTTTTGCTCGAAATCATGAGCCCTCCACGTTCAACATATGCGTCATGTTGTAACTCTGTCGCAGATACGGCGCCGGGGACAAGTACCTGGTTCAGCTGCTCGTTGGTAGAAGCAGGCTCGCGCCCGCAATTCGCCATGGTCAAACTCCTCTGGGCAGAGGAATTGCAAGCGGAATGCGCGGCGCTGCTGCGTCGGTCACTCGAGTTGCCAGCGACAAACGACGACGCCACCACTAAAAACAAAACTAAGCAATCTAAGAAGAAGGCGCATGCTCGGCAGCGCAAACTCAAACAACGCGACGCGAGTCTTCACCGCAGTCGATTGGACGCTGTGCTTGGCCAATTGAAACGAACGGTGCGACTCAAAACCAAGCAACAGCAGGCTACCACGTCACTCGTGGCGGCCGTGCTCTCGGATCTCGTCTCACAAGTGTGCCACCAATTGCTTCGTCCCCCACCCCCTCCAACTCGAATACCCAAGCGAAAACCACCTAAAAAGATCAAGCCACCAACGAGCAGCAGTCCCCCCGAGTTGCCAGTGACCCCACCACGACGGGTGCTCAAGCTGCACTTGACCAGCCCCAGTCCTTTGTCTTCTTCGATGGCAGGGTCCCCCCCACGGACCCCCCCCTACTACGACCCGTTTCCCAGCCAAGGGGGGGGACCCCCCCTTCACACAAGCCACTTCTTTCCGAGTCCCCGCCGCCAACCTGCTTCGTTCCATCATCCTCCCATGTCATTTGCTGATCTGGTACAATTCTTGTCCTTTACCCCCGTTGATGTATTCCTTGTATGCATAGATCGTGTAGGTTTTTCACACTAATTTCAGGCACATGGATGTTGAAGTGGTCGAATGTGAGTGGATAATTTGATTGGCTACTTGATTCGCGTTCTCGGTTTGGATTGGTCGATTTTCGATTGTCTGTCTGTATTCTGGTCATTCCAATATCGAATCGACTTGACAATACTGACCAATATCTGGCATTTAACTCCGTGTAGAATTTATATTGGTTGTCTATTTGGACACTGTACCAATTCCACGTATTCTTCTAGGTGATGTGGTGGGAATGTGTGACATGGTTATGATTGATATAATAGGACACTCCAAGCGACGAAACATCCTTCTTTTTACCGCAGCTGTTTCAGGAAGACGCAATGCCAACTGCCGACTGGTCTGTGACACCGTCGTTTCCGGCCATGGATTGGCCCCATTCGTTTCAGTGGCGGCACTCGGAGACGCGGCTGCCAACGTGGATGATGGAGCAGCCCCCAAAGTCCCCGTCCAAGCCATCACAACCAACAAGTTTACCCCCTAGTACTACTACTAGTACTACTACTACTACCACGGACAACCAGCCTCGTCCTCCCCCCCATCCGACATGGACGATGGTCGATCAGTCCACTCAAGCGACTACTTCCGTTGATATTAGTCAAGAGACCGTAGCGGAACTGCAATCGATCATCGATTCCAATGCCAAGGTACGGAACTGTATCGCATATATCCGAATCTCGTAACCTCAGAAGTCTGTTGTTGGCTCGGAATCTATCTATCTATACACTGTATATGGACAAGAGGTTTTTTATTGCATTTTGGTGTCCATATATTACTAGTTGCGGCTTTTCACCATTTTGTTTGAGTTTGAAATGATTCATCCATATATATATAATATATATATATATATATTTGTTTGAGTTTGAAATGATTCATCCATATATATGTATATATTTGTTTGAGTTTGAAATGATTCATCCATATATTCATATATATATATGAATCATAAATATATATATATATATATATGAATCATAAATATATATATATATATGAATCATAAATATATATATATATATGAATCATAAATATATATATATTATATATATATATATATGAATCATAAAAAAAAAACAAATATATATATATATATACTGTATCTATCTTGAACAACATTTGTGGGTGTGGTGGACTCGGTAGACAACAGCAGCGTTGCAGGTGGAAGTAACCCAACTGCAAAACACTGTACGGGAGCTCCAAGCCGCCGTATTTGCCCTCCAGCAGCCTAAGCCCCCCCCCCCGCCCCCCCCTTCAAGTACCACCAGTACCCGGTCCAACAACTTGTTTGTGTCGGTGCCGGCGTCTGTCCTCCCTCCGAAAACCAAATTGCACTGGGATATTTGCGAATTTGTCACACATTTGCAGGCGGAAACCCACAGCCGCCTGGCCGCGCACACGGCCGTGAGTCGGTTCTGCGTGTCCGCTGTCCAAGCGCTGTGGCCCCGCGCCCAAGTGCGGCCGTACGGGTCCTTCGTCACGGGCTTGTCACTCCCGTCCAGGTGCGTGGGAGGGGCTATTACGTGTGAATATATGTGACACTGTGAATGTGTGTATATGTGACACTGTTCACTCGTTTTGAGTCACGTGGTTGGTTTGTTGTAGTGATTTGGACCTGGTGATTTGTTTGCCAAAGGTCCGCCGCGACGAACCCGCCGAAGTACGTTCGACCACAAGTGTTTCAAAATATATCGAGTTGCGTCGATGTTTATATATATATATATAATTTGAAGTAGTATTTTGGATTTGGATCGAGTATGGTCTGTCTATATATATATATATATACCATGGTTCTATATTAAATTTCTGTTGATATGATTTGGATCTATATATATAGTAATTTGTCTACATATACCCACCATGGTTGTGACATGTTTTGTATATATGTATATATACATTGTGATTTGATAGACGAATATATATATACTAGTCTATCAAATCCCATCCTTGTCGTGTTGGATGCATCTCATATATCCCAACCAATTTGTATATCGTCCATCTATCCTTGTATATATATATACTAGCCTATCAAACTCCATCCTTGTCTTTTTCGATGTATTACCAACCAATTTATTTGTATAATGTGTATCTATCCTTGTATATATATCCTTGTATATATACAATACATACATTCCAGTGCGGCGATGCATCATCCCTTGATAGTATATAGTGCGGCGATGCATCATCCCTTGATAGTATATATATATATATTATATATGACCATCATATTCCCCTTGTCGCAGGCGCCGGGGGTACTCGAAGGGCGCAACGCGATCAAGGAGACGTGGCAGCAGCACCTGGCTCGCAAGCTCCGGTCCGAGTCGTGGGTCGTGCCAGAGTCGGTCAAGACGATTCCAAATGCATCCATCCCGATCATCACTCTGGTCACGACGGCGCCGTACCACGTTCGTCTCGACATTTCGTTCGAAGGGCCTGGCCACAACGGCCTCGCCACTAACGACCTCGTGCACTCATTTCTGCACCAACTGCCGGCGCTTCTGCCGCTCATGCTCGTGCTCAAGACGTTTGTGATCGACCGAGGCCTGGGAGTGGCCTACACGGGCGGCCTCAGCAGCTACGCGTTGCTGCTGCTTGTCACGCGGTTCCTCCAGGAGTTTGAAGTGACCAACCGGACGTGCCACCCCGAAGCCGTGAGCACCCAGTGCAATCTCATCGTGAGCTCGCAAAGCCGAACAGACTTTGGCACGATGCTCCTCGGGTTTTTATACTTTTACGGATCGAAATTTGACCCACGCCAAACTGGCATCAGGTAAAATATTATAGCATCACGAATGCCATGTGTGGCGAATTCAATGGCAATATGGCGCAAACGGCACGATGATGGAGTGCCTGTATAGTATCTATTTGGATATATATATATATTTATAACGAACGGCAATGTGACATTACTTCAACGGCATTTTGCCTGATTCCACGGCACAGTTGCCTATATATATATATATATTATGGTCGATCACTCTGTATATTTCAATTATTACCTACCAAATGGGTCCTCAAGTAGAACATAACAGAACGTGCGTTGATGTATCCACACTAGAGTGTGTATGAGTGTGCTTCCAGCCAAAATATTAATAGTTTGTTTTGTGTGGATTCACGAAATCCATCGATCGATCGAAATATTATTACCTTTCTACCGACTTTTGTATGTCGAAAATATCCTGTGTCATATATATATATATATATATTTAGCCATCCACGACTACAACCTTCACTGTTTACTGGTTGAAAGAGTGAATTTGCTTGTGGCGACTTGATATTCGTGATGTGGGTTATATTTTTGCTTCGTCCAACACATGTAAAACATAATATATGCGTGTGTCTAGTGTAGCGTCTCGGTGCTTTTTAGATCGGGATGCACTGGCGCAGCAGCACTCGACCGCCACCGCCACGACCACGTTGTGGCACAATGTGCACATGGAGCACGTCCAGTTTGAGAACCTCAACCTGAGCTCGCCGGGGTCCCGCCGTCAGAATTTGCATCGGGACCACTGGGCCGGCCCCGCGCCATTCAAGCCATACGATTACGATCCACACAAGTTTGATCCGATTTACATTGAAGACCCGCTACGGCCAGGCAACAATGTCGGCCGCAACTGCTTTCGCATCATGCAGCTCCGTCGGGTAACAAAATGCTCGTACATATATGTCATCGCCCCACGGTTTGTTCCGCCTGTGTGCACCAGTGTAATTCTTTGTTTTTAAATGATATATTTAATATACTATTCCAATATTATCGGTTTGGAAATATGTCGTCGCCCCAGGGTTTTTTCCGCCTGTGTGCACCCGCGTAATTCTTTGCTTTTTTTTAAAGGATATATTTCATATTATTTGTTTGGAAATTTATATTTAAGATTGAATATCAAAAAATATTATTTGCTGTATGTAGGCCCTTGCGAGTGCGTGGGCGACGCTCAATCCGGATGGGGCGGCGTTGGTGCTGCCGTCCAATCGGTACGTCGGAGGGGTGCCCCTCCACCCCAACAACTTGCTGCGGAGTGTGCTCACGTGCACACACGAGCCCAAGTACAAACCCCCCCACGGGTTGTGGCCATTGGAAGCTAGTACTACTAGTAGTACTACTACTACTTGTAGTAGAGCCCCAGTGACGTTTCAA